AAGAGACAAAAATGAAATTCATGGGGGAACTAAGAGCGCAAAGTATAAAACAATTTGAAAATATAATAAAAAAGTCATATTAAAAGTCCTTGTGAATAAACATAACTTTAATTTTTATCGGAACTGGTTCAAATTTATACAACTATGGTGTATAAGATACTTTTAGATACTTTAATCAGTAAAATCTGTTAAAAATCTTGAATAATATACATATAAATACAGTCGAATTAATTAACCATCTTATATAAAAAATTTATCAAAAAAGTTTAATTGCCACCAAATATTGCAACTTCTTCTTTAATTATATTAAACTTAAATTTATAAAATATATTCTTTACAATATAAGAACAATATGTTTGTATGAACTAGACATTTAGAATAAAGATCAATATCTGTTCTGCTCTTTTCGACGACCCTTTGTAATGTCCTATTAAAAATCCTTAAATTAGCAAAAAAAATTGTGGATCACTCATGGGCAAAAAAACTATCCTATGTCTCAAGTTGGACCAAACTGCACACGGTGTGCAAATTTGATTAAAATCGGTTAAATAGTTTAGGAGTCCATCGCGGACAAACAACGTGACACGTAATTTATGTATATTAAGATTAGTAGTATTTACTAGAAGCAAAAAAGTGATAGGATTTTAGTTGTCATGTTTTTTATAGGAGAGGTGGAAAACGAGCATACGATTTACCTGATGTTAAGTGACTACCGCTGCATGAACAACTGCAACAGCAGGGGACTTGCAGGTGCGTTGCCGGCCTTTTAGAAAGGAGTAAGCTCTTTGTGTAATAGTGTGGAAGAATATAATTTGATGACCACACGAAGCCATAAATTGTTGAAAATACTTCAAAAATATTCTGCTTAATTAAACCGAAGACTCATTTTAATGCGGTCTCCGTATATATAAATACAATCACCAATAGACTTAGAGACGTGGTTACTTCAAAATAATTAATTCAAATTATGAATTGATCACCGAACTGTAGTGATTCCAATCTTGTTAAACATGTAGTATAACATTGATGAAAGAAGGATTCGGAAGTCTTAAGATATGGGCGCTATGTAAGTATCAATGTAAAATGGAAGAGATGCTTCTACTTTATCAATACATAAAAGTTCGCAACTGGACTAACTGAAAATAAAAGTCTAAATATCGCAACAGAAACAGAAACAATTTTAGTCAATATATATTATAAATAATACTTTATTTGAAGTCACTCTTGTTTAATTTATCACTGGGTCGGAAAAAAGCCTCTGTTCTGGGAAGAACCAGCAAGAAAACCAGCGGGACTTTGTTTTTGAAAAAAGAAATAACAGCTTAAAATCTTAAATGATACCTACACAATTAACGACACTTAACGAAATAGAAACATCTTATTAGCATCCGTAAATTAAATAAAATATTTTAATAATCCTTTTAATACAAACTTTGTTTTATAATTTTTTGAAATATAAAGAGGTAATTTTATTTATACTTTCTGATAATTTGCTGAAAAAGCGTATAGATCGCCCCACGAATGAATTACTGACTCGGTGGAGTGAAAAAAGTGAAATAGTAAAATAGCTAAAGAAGTGAAATTTTTCCAAAACCGCTATGATTGTTAGGGTCGTCTTGATAATTTACGCCGGGTAAACGAGGTAGATGCTCATAATATATCGGCATCTGACGGTAGCCATAAAATCTCTTAAGCATTTACCATCGTCACCACTTACAACAAAATTTCGTCACGTCACAGCATAAGAACAAGCTAGTTTACTACAAGCGGCCGCTATAATTTGCTGTTTTTAAGTTCAAAAATTGTAATTACCTAAGGAAATTTTTTATACTTTTATAGAGATGTATCAACTTTTTCTTTAAACACCTACTCTCTTGCACGCATTGCCTGCAGGTGCAAAAAAGGTTTTGTAGGCCATTAAAAAATATGGCGAACTTAATTTTCACATACCAGTATTTACATCTACGGCTCAATAATTCAATAACTCACCCGGCCAGCTTTTGATTGCTGCACCTTTAAAAGGCTATATTCAGCAGTTGATATATACTGGATGGTAAAAAAGAAAGAAGTAAAGTAAACAAAGCTAAATTTCATATCCTATTGTAACAATCTGTTGATTTTTGTGCACTCTTTGAAATACTTCCGTCATATCAAGTTTAGATAAATTGAATTTTTAAAACGACGCTGTTAGAGCACTCAGACGACACTGTTGTTAAAGTTTCCAAAGTAGCTAATTTAAACGAAAGATTTTATAGATTGCTTCATTTTAACAATTTGTATCTTTATTTTTTGTAGAAAAATTAATTAGACGAACTATAAATTGAATTAACTTACAATTTTTTTGAAAAATGAAATATTTTCTATGTTTTTCCCACACTTCCAATAATAAAAAAAGAGTACATTAATTTCTTAGTCTATCAAATTTTAATTAATGTTTTACATCGGTAACAAATGTAAAAAAGTGTTTGACGCATCTTACATACTTTATTTTCAATGATACTATTAATAAATATTTGATTAAATGAATTGAATATTATGGCAACACAAAGTACACCGCAGCAGGTACAGGAAAGCATCGCTTGAAAGCACATCAAAGGAGTCACTCGCTTTGATACAGCCAGACGTGACGCTGACTATCTGTATCAATTTATATGTTGGTTCAAAAACAAAATACTTATAAAATGTACTGTCATTGCACGCGCTTAACTTTGACTGAATTATATGTGTTCTGCAATAAACCATGTAACTCAAAATTTGGTGCTACTTACAGCTTGAATTTGTACGAATATGGTATAGAAGCCTAGGTAGTTTTAAGCTAGTAAAATACGTGGTAGAGCCACGCTGCAGCTATATTATAGTTGTAGCACGAATGGGTCGGCTCGACCGGGGAACCACGCCCTCACAGAATACCAGCGTAAAATAGTAGCTTAATGCTGCTGTGTTTCATATGGTGAGTGCAGAGAACCTGAGACACTTTTTACTGGAAACAAGGCATTACAGTCCTCACGGGTGACAACGTATCTGCATTTTGATTCGTAATCGAGTATAGATGAAGACGTCTATGGGCCACAGTAACCACTTACACAGGTTGACTGTGTGCTCGTTTGAAATCCTATCCTATATATAAAGTTCATGGACTAAGCGCTCGATATAAATTTCACAGTACGCGAGCAAACCGGGCTTGATCCCCATTTCTATTTATACTTCATTATAGCAGTACTTGCACTACAGTGTTTTGGTCTGCAGGATGTAAAGAGTCAAGTATTATTACAGTCTATGAGACATGTCATCTTAATCATCAGGGTTTTTTATAGAAGATGGGGAAAACGAGCATGCGGCTCACCTGGTATTAAGTGACTACCACCGACCATGATCAACTGCAACACCAGGGGAATTGCAGATGCGTTGCCGGCCCTTAAGAAAAGAGTAAGCTCTTTTTTTGAAGGTCCCTAGATCGTGTTGGTCCGGAAAAATCGCCGGTGGTAAACTATTCCACAGAGAGGTCGTACGCGGAAGAAAACTCCTTCTGAAACGTACAGTGGTGGACCACCAAGCATCCAGATGGTGTGGATGGTATTGGGACGTTTGCCGCGTAGGCTGGGATTAATCCGAACAATTCCTCAGAGCACTCTTCTCTCTCTTATCTCTTCGTAGCGCCAGTGAATCGAGCCGATCGGAAAGTACTCGGTCGTCGGTCGTCGACGATTCGAGCCGCTCCGCGCTGGATGCGGTCAAGTGGAGGGAGATGGCACTGGGGAGCCCCAGCCCAGAGATGGGAACAGTATTCCATGTGCGGCCGAACCTGCGCCTTGTAAAGTTGCAGACGGTGTGCCGGCATGAAATACTGTCCCGCTCTGCTGAGTACGCCAAGCTTTTTTGAGCCCTGGCCTTTTTGATTTGGCCTTCTCTTCCAAGTGACCACGAAACTGCACGTCACTCGATATGTCGACGCCGAGGATTACGATATTGGCTGAGGCAACAAGGGGAGTGCCTTGGAACTGAGGAGATACGACAAAGGGGTTATTTTTAGCGGTTAACGCGCAAACTTGTGTCTTCTGAGGGTTAAACTGGACTAGATTTAGTCGCCCCCAATCCAAGACTTTGTTCAGCAAAGACTCGACTTCAGACACAAGTTTGTCCCGGTACTCGGAGACGTACAAAAGTCCACTACTGGATATCCTACACTGAGGAATGCCATAAAACACGGTCCTGAGCCACATGCATCCGTCGACTTCCTGCACGTCTTACCAGCTCGTTACTCCATCTAGTGTAGGGACGCCCTACACTTCACCTGCCGGTATGAGACTACCACTCAATACCCTTTTCTAATCATCGGTTGCCGGTTCTTTGAGCTACATGGCCGGTCCATTGCCACTTTAGCTTATTTATCCGTTGGGCTATAGCGATAACTCTAGTTCAACTGTGGATATCTTTGTTTCTAAGTCTATCACGCAGAGAAACTTCGAACATAATCCTCTCCACAGCTTGCTGAGTGACCTTGAGCTTCCTTTTACAGCCAGCAGTGACGGACTTCGTCTCAGATACAATCATGATTTCAAATTTTGAGGTATGCCTGACAAGAAGATGTATCCTAACGTGTCTTCCAAACGTTGTCTAGCCGAGTTGAATTCGTCAATTGACCTTTCGGTCAAAGTTGGACTTCCTTAGTCCTACTATTTGTCTCAAGTAAATATAGTTGTAAACAACTTCGAAAAATGTTATTTTATTTATTAATTAGTTAAGTCAACAAACTTTAAAATCAACATTCATTTACACAAATGCAACTTCTACATAAAACATATTAAAAACAAAAATGAAACTTCGGTAAAAGGAATGCAATCGCTGGAAGTGGCACCTGGTACCGGACGGACTTCACTTTGAATCTCTAGCATCGGACATTTTTAAAACATCCGGCATCATTTGCATAAATATAGTCGTCTGAACATTCAGACATTTTTGCATATACTTCATAAGCCCATCCATGGCATCTGCAGCATTTTCTAATCTTCGTCGTAGTCCTTTAAGCACACTACGTAAGTATTTCTTCCGACTTCAGATATCTCAGTCAGTGACTGCTTTTCGTTAGCTTTATCTCCACTTTTTCTCTTGACATTTACTTCTTTGGCTTGTTTGCCCTTTTCTTCACTTCTTTCTTTGGCCTTTACATCTTTAGTTAGTTGCCCGTTCTCTTCTTTTGCTATTTTAAATTTAGTTTTCTCCAAGAAAAGCTAAGCTAGCGTTCTTTGTTCGTGCTCGATGGTGTCTCTCTAAGGATCTTTGGTTGTAACGTAACTTCTTCTCCACGGTTCGATGTCGATATCTTATCATGTAGAATGCTTCTTGGGATTTTGACCCAACGAAGCTACTCCCAAACCCAGTTCTTTGAACAAAATTTGATCTATTGCAGATTGTAAACTTTTTTGGTTCCATGTTCCTTTCTTATTCTGCTCTTCCATTTCACCCTTTATCTGTTCTTTTGTTCTCTGAAATAATTTACAAATATTACTACAATAAATACAGATATATACAAGAAAAAACATTTTATTCACTGTCCGGCGTTAAATGGCTACTTTGTGTCCGGTACTAGGGGACAGGATAATGCAAAAATTACGTAATCTATACCGAATCCATTTTAAAAATTGCCAAACTTTTTTATAGACTACGAATAACAATGAATCCCTACCTTAGTTAAAAATACATATAATACCTAGTATACCTAGTAAACCTACCTAATACCTACCCAATAAATACCTACTATTTGTCAATTAAGAGTAGCGTTTAAACGCAGAAATTTAGCTGTAACACTCACGGATCTTAAGTGACGCAATGTTTTCTCGCCGAAAACAGAAATGGACGGCTGCTGATGTTGCCTCGAGCGTCATAAATAAACTACGTCTGATGATACTATACACACTCGCGTCCCTTTTTACCGTGTTTGAGTCGTTTGCCAGGTAACTTGTCGAGATAATACGTGTGTCCGGCACTAGGTACCGTCCAGCGTTATGGGACTTTCCCCTACGCAAGACAAAGTCACAGATAGTACTCTTCGATCTTCTGTACAATTTGCCTAAGAGTATGTATGTGGTCTATTGTACTAAAGCATTTTCCGGAAACCTGGTTGTTTGGTATAAAACCTATTATTGACTAATCAAATATTGACAATTTAATAAAAATATATTCTCTATACGTTAAGCATTGAGCAAATCGACAAACGAAGAGGTCAAAATGAATAGAATATTTAAAAATAATTTAAACATTTAAAACGTAGTGTTTGATTCTAAATAAATATTTTATTTATTCTGGTGATGAATACCGAATTTACTACTGATATAATATAAAAAGCACAGATTGTCATCACTAGTTACTAAATAAAAGTATTCTTAGTGAGGTAAACATTGTCTGAATCAATTTTCTACTCACACGGCCGTGAGTAGCCTTGACCTTATTAGGTTATCATGATTTTGAAAAAATGTACACGATCATTTTAGTTCAATTTTACCAAAACCCAATGTAGTTCCAATAAAAAATTTAAATTTTTTATTGGAATTAAATTAATTATGATAGTAAATAGTGTTCTATGACAAACAATGACTTTGTTACTAATGCAATTATTTATAAAATTTTTGGAACACAAAACGTTGAGAAGGCGGTTTAGGAAGTACAGTGCAGATTTCAGCAACAGATGCAAGAGTTTGTAGAGATTTTATCGATGCTTTTCATTGTTCATTATTAATTTTAACGTAGTTACATATCCGAGTGAATCCAATTCATACTAGGTTCAAAGGTGTGTTATATATGTTAAAATAATCTATACTGTTTGTATTTTTTTCATAGTAAAACCAATTTATGCAAATGGTGCAGTGGATTATTAACAAAACTGCAAAGAAATTGAACCGATCCATTTTCATTTTAAATATCGATATCGACAAAATACAAACGTCAATATCTCAAAAGCTGATTTTTGTGGGTGGATCCTTTAGGCGTCACTATGTCCATTTAGGTCAAAATTTTAGATCGAGGTTATTTCCGTCATTTGTTGAAAGTATTGTTTAAAACACCTTGATGAGGAGACAAGGTTTCTTTTGAATGTATTTCTACTTTGTCAAGTTTCTTTCTTCCCTTTTTTAAAAAAAGAAAGAAAAGATTAATGCTATAAATTTGACTAATGCTAAAAATATAAAAATTATTTCCTTTGAGTAATACCATACTTAACCGATTTTATAATGATTTTCTAAGTGAGTTTGGAAAGATTTTATCATCCCCACCTGTTAATATTAATGTATGAATGAACAACCATTTCAACCTACTAACTAGAGATTTGTAAGAGAAAAAAAAAGTGTAAATATTTTCCACGAGACACATAAATAAGTCGTAAGGTGAAACAGTTTTTATGTTAAAATGGTTTAAATAAGCCTCTGGGAAATATGCTGTAGAAATTTCCTTAACTTAGCTGTGACCTATTTTCCATAACTACGTGAGCAGAGTAGAGTTTCAAAATAGTCAATTTCATTCATAAGCAAGAAAAATTACAAATTTATTTCTAAGAAATGTGTAGTCCACCACCTTGCAATGAGGTAGTGTGGTGGACATTTCCTTGCCTTAAAATACTTTCAGGAATACTCGTATAATATATGCTGTATCTTTTTATAAAGACGTCCAAGCTTGCCCATAAAGTACTATTATTCATTCATATTGCTCATTTGAAAGCTTTTTTTTTTCTTTTTCATATTAGAACATATGATAAAAGGAAAGTGTGAATAAACCGAACATTTCAGATGTAATATAACTTATAATTCAGAATAAACCTGCTCTTTTGAAAATTATTGAATTGCGTTATTAAATTTTAAATTTACGGCCAGACAGTTTTCCTTCAAAAGCCGACTTCACTTTTTTGCATTGTACATGATAAAAATGCGAACAATGTTTGACTAACAAAAATGTGGTAGAAGAAGAAAGGTTATCATGCAAACTCTTGGAAATATCAGATTGATGCCTTTTAATGCTATTGCTTTATATTTCGAAACATTATTTTAGTTTAATTTTCCTTGGTGTGCAGTCTGTTCGCTTAGATACGGTCGTTTTTGTGCCGCGTCACCTCATCAGATTCCGTATTTTGTCAAAGGCGCGACATTTAGTGCTGTAAAGCACCCGAAACGTCGGGAATAATAAGTCAAAATTAAACGCGATAAAATCCGTAAGATTAGTTTCATTTAATATTGTGTCCGCGTAACTATAAGAAGTCATTACTGTAAACTTAACAAAATTCTAAAATACTTTTAAGAAGAATAATATTGGGGTCAAGTGTAAGAATAAAAATATTTAATCTTTTTGGTGCCATCTGCTTGGGATCCTATAATTAACAAAATTAAACCCAAACCCAAGCATACCATTTCAAGACTTCAAGATACTGTAAGCTCGTTCTGTGTAGAACGGACCGAAACTTAATATTAAAAAATTGAAGGTAGTCGGGCTAACTATGACATTGGGACGTCAAATACCTCATTTACATTCAACCCCTGCCACTGCTCCTCGCGCTGCCGGTCATACATCGTAAATACTGCCGTAGCAGGATCGCGGGAAGTGTGTATTTACACTCTGCCCTACCTCCCACATCACTTTCGGCTTCCGACTATGGCAGACGTCGAAATAATTACACCGTCCGCGCTGTGTCTTCTTGCAATACAAAATTATGTTAATAATTTAAAAAGATATCAAATTCAAAAGAAGATAGATAGATAGAAAATTTATTTGCTTAAAAACATGGTACATAAGATGATCAATGACGTGGAACTGACATGTTTTGCCATTAATTGGCATGCAAAAATGATATGAAACACAGCCAATTACACAAACCCAATGTTACATTTTAAAATTATTGCATTGCTTAAAAGCTAAGTACAAACATTCTTTTTCAATTCAAATGTTATGTACAATTAAATACTTATACAGATCCACTCTATTTGAATTCTTATACAATAAATTGTTCATAAATTATTAATGAATTATTACATTAGTGTTACATAAATAATATTAAATATTATATGAGATTAGTTAAGCTATTATTATTTTAATAATTACACTACAGTATAAATTAATTCATAATTTTAATTACAATAAAATTATAATTTAAAAATCTCAGGTATTATGCAAATATTACCATTTAACTTATTTACTTATTTTACATTTTAATAAATAAATAATCAATATAAGTTATTAATCGTTTTTAGAAATAAAATATCAATGTTCATTAATTCCTCAAGCTAAATTTTATATTAATATAATAAATTTGACGAATTTATAATTAATTATGTACATAGCTACTATGTTATCTCAAAAGGAAAATTCGTCTTCGTAGAAGTGATGAATTGCGGTTTTTATTGTTGAAATCCCATATTGTTTTTTCTGACTCCAGCAGTTCTAAAAACTTTGTTGTATTTTCATTATTCCACTCGAAAGGCATTTTGGCATCGTACTTATTTAACAACAAGATGGCACCCACGTCCGTTCATCCAGGCGCTTGGCGCGAAGTGAGCGATGGAGCTGAACGTGAACACTCACTGCCGCTCGCGCTGCCCGTCCTTTGACTTCCGCACGAAAAACCGACATTTGAGGGAGCGTAGGGCAGTGGCAGCGGCAGCGGCAGTGTCAGCACAAGTAGCCTGTTTACATACTGCCCTGCGCACTGCCCTGCTCACTTTCGTGCCCAACAGGGCTGAATGTAAATGGGGCAAAACATCTCAGCCCCCCCCCGTGACCATGGGTGCTGTAAAGCACCGGAAACGTCGGGAATTAAACATAAGTTAAAGTTGTTAATTAAACGCGATAAAATCCGTAAATAAAGTTTTAGTCAATTTGTAGTGTTCGTGTAAATTTTAGAAATCATAATATTTAATCTATTGATATAATTACAGCTAGACATTACCTCCCAGAAAGTCAAGGCTGGTACAGCAGTATCGACTAGCTTTCTTTTATTGATAACTTAGAGTATGAAATATAATGTACCAAAATGTTTGGAGCAAATGGTGCTTGTCCGTATAGGTATCCAAGATTCATGATTTCTACAAGCTGCAATCCAAGTCTGCCGCTTAAGACGATCTCTTGGAAATATGTAAAATCAAACCAATAATAGAAAAATGTACTGCTGTTTGTAATACTTTATTATAAAAACTAAACCAAAAAAAAATCAGTTCGGCAGACAAACCCGCATGCTTAATTAACTTAC